TCGCGACTTTCCGCTCCTCAAGAACGGTGGAACAGAGACGGGAGGACGAAGTAGCCGCGTCAGAGGGAGAAACCCGTAGAGCGGAACGAGCGTATGTGCAAGCGCGCCAGAAAGAGGAAGAAAGAGGGTGGGGAGGGACGCGTTCGTGGGTGTCGAAGCCAGGAAAAGAGGGTGAGTGAGCAAGAGAGAGGGGAGGGGGATGGAAGTATGAAGTGAGCATATTACTATTGAGAATAAGTACCTGGCTTCGAGATGGTGGCTGCGCTCTGGGGGGGAGGGTAGCGGGTGGAAAGGGCCGAAGTAACGGCACACGGGGGTGGTGCGTCGGGGGTACAAATGGGGTGGTACAATGGGCACTAATGGATCTCAAGCCGCCGCGAGAGGCGCTGCTTTTAATCTAATTGTCCTTCGTAGCCGTCGCGATCGCGATCAGTGGTATTCAACTCTGATCCCTCGCCCACCCCCTTAAAACATATGATTACGCGGGTATAAAAAAAAAGGAGGGAGTGGCGGCGGGGAAGAGGGATGGAGACACGTAGGACCTGTCTTCTCGCCGGGAGCGCGAATTTTTCCACGACGGGAGAGGTTAAAAGCGCGCCAAGTATTAACGCGACAATTACATGTCGACGAATAATAAACGTTTATTAAATTCTTGCGATACGCCGGCTATTAAACGTTCATTACATTCGACATATTTCAAATCCAAACGTACCGAATAACTCGCAATTTGACGCCGTCTGCGTTTCGCCAAGTGTCGCGATCCCCTCCCTGCGTCCTATGCAATTTAGAATGTTTTTTGATTTTGGACAAAATACGGAACACGGTGTTTCTTGGAAATGCCTCCGAAACGAGTCGAAATATAGGGTTTATCTAATACCAAAAGGTATTATATAATACATCGAGCTATCAATCTACTAAATTTCTAATCATCCAAATAGCCAAGTTCGCGAACACTTTGCTTTTCTCGTCGCTTTTCAGCAATTTGATAGATTTATAGTTCAACGTGGTCGCAGCCAACGGATAGACGTTTGACAATATTCTGTAGCCGTCGTTGGAAACTGTTTCCAAAGGCTACCTTATTTTTCTGCCTGTTACCATGTCGTGAACCCCTTAACTTTTACGACCATCGATAACCTGAGTGCGTCGCGCGGCCAGGTGTAGGTGTGAATGCTTACGATACGACACGGTGAGTTGGAAAGCAGGGCAAAAGTGGACCCCGGAGCGTTTCTTTCTCCTTCTAGTGGTTCCATTTAGCGGAAACTTTACAGCATTATACGACACGGCTGTTGAGCTAAAATGCAACGGGGGACGGGGGGGGGGGAGGGAATTTCGAAAGCATTGCACGTGCTCTTTCTAATGTTGCGAATATAAAATGTCTGGGAAACATCTCGAGTGTCGCTCACCCCACCTTATCGCCTCCTTGAGCGTTTCCTTCCAAAAATTGCACGCGAAACGTGTCTTTGGTTGACGGTGCAATGACAAATTTCACTTTGGGAACGCGATGTTGTCTTTTAACCCTAAAAAGAGCAAACCATAAGCTACTACACTAAAAGACCAGAGGAAGAGGAGACTTTAGAGACTATCTACGTTGTCCATAATTACCTTTGGGACACTGTCTTTGACAATATGTACTTTATGACCAATGGTAGTTATATATATTGGAAGAATAAATGGCCACAGAAAGTAAATTTTATTTTAGGAATGATTTAGAATTATATATAATCAATTCTGTAAATTCGGTATACAAATTTAACACAATTTTGTAATTATTCCGTGGAAGGAATAAGATTGCTTTGAGCACGATAAATTATGCTTTCTCTTTCACAAATCTATTAGGTTCCTTCTTTGGTTGAAATCTTATCTTTCGTTGGTTCTATTTTTAGCTTTCACCCTCTTGAATTTGCTATAATATGTATAACTTGATATCGTAATTCGATCAGATTCAACTTTCTATTATCGATTCCTAATTAATTTAGCGATTAACTCCTCTAAGAAGACCCTTCGTTAATTCATTTGTCTGAATCATTTCAATTAGGTATAGATAGAATTTTCTGCATATTTATGCATTTACAGAGATAATATTAATGCTTAATGCTTTTTACATCTGAAAATAATCGAAAATTGTTTCCTGTCTTTACGAGAACAAGTTAACCTACTAATTGTTTCATTTAAAAATAATATTTAGCGTTCCCCCAAAACAGACACAAAGCTCATTTACTTAAAAAATTGATTCTGCATGAAAAAATAAATCGAGATACTGCAGCAACATTTATTCGCGTCTCGTTTTCGAGATAATCGGATTTGAAAATATATTGGGTACACACTCATTTAATAGAACGCTTAAACTTCCCTATACATTGACACCGATCGATTTTTTACACATTAGTAGAATAAAAAACGTATTATTAACAAATCGATGCAAAACATTTGTGCGCTTATAGGTGTTAATGAACCATACACGGGGATATTTCGACGTTATTTACGTGTTGATTCCGATGAAAGCCCTCTTCAGAATCTCATTTTTTTTACCAAAAAAAGGATCACTATAAAGCCATCGAACAAAAAAAAAAAATAATCGATAGAAACTATTGACAAGAAGAGAAAAGAAAATTACAAACTAGTGTCACGATATTCAAAATTTCAATTGTCATTTATGATGCATTTATTTGTATTAAAGAAATTAAGGGGGGCAGACTTATGTAAAATGGTAAAACGAGAAGCGATACTTGACAATTTTTTTACAGCATAAGAGTTCGATGAAACTTTTCGCCACTTTTCAAATGCTATCGTTTTGGCCATTTCGTTATCTCATAAAAGAGTCCACGAAGTTAACGATTATTCACCCTAATTCAGGCTATTGTATCTCTGCGAAAAATATCGTTCCAATCCCCGACTTAAAAAGGAAATCATGCAACGGATAATGTATCGTGAAATCTAATTCTGGTTGTTCGTAATTAAGCAACGCCCCCGCAAATATCAGGGGGTCCCACGGTTCTAATTCGAGGCAACGAAAGGATCGGGGCCGTGGAAATATCGTAACGCGAAAGCACGGGGCCAGGAAGCAAACCACGTTTCCCGCAAACTCGTGACCCCTTATCGGTCGATCTTAACTAGAACAACGATGGCGATCGTCCCGAGGCAGGTGGCGCAATAATTACTTCCCCGTGCTTTGCACCCTCCCTCCGCCACGTAGGCCGCAGCAAGGGACCGGTTCAATAACGATAACGATAATTGTCGCGGCGGTGTCGTCGCACGGGCGTCCGTCCTTACGGGAGATAAATTTCTGATAAGGCGGATAAATTGGTCGGATTGTAATTGCCGTTGTGCGTGTTACCCGGGATGAGCAGAGCCCCGTGTACCTGACCAGGCACGTGGGAAGCCAACGCGGAGGCGGCGGACGAAGGGGTGACACGATTAAACGCCACCATCGATGTTTACACCCAAAGTCCGTGGGAATCGTGTCCCCCCCCGTCAGACACTCCAACGCCAGCTGGCTCGTGCAATCCAGAATTCAGGAAATCGTCATTGCGACCAAATCTTTTCATGATTAATGACACGGAAGCGATTTTGTCGCGCGACCGTGTTAACCGAGCTCTCACCGAGAGAAAATTAGGGCTATGGAGGCGGGGATGTTTCAGGAAAATACGTTCATTAGCCCCAGGATTCCGATCGCGTCGAATGTAATAGGTTTTACAGGGGTGAGGCAAGTGTGTTCATGTTTTGGAAAGAATTGGATCGTACCATTAAAGGAGTCTGAGCTTTGAGCTTTCCAGGTGTCTCCACTGTATCTCAAGGAAAATAGGGGTAGAGAGATCGCGTCAGGTGCTATAGGTTTTACAGGGATGAAGCAAAGTTTCATGTTTGGAAGGAATTTGGATCGTGCCGGATTATCCCTCACCCAATGGACTCCTGGGTCTATTTTGACCGATGTAAACTATTTATTTCACAGTCGTGAGGTTCTAGATTTTAATAAATAACAATGGATGGAGCAAGGCGACCCTAACAGGCCCTGCCTCAGACGTTGCTCAAGGAGTGTATACAGGATGTCACACCCCTGGTAAAAATTTTAATGGGAGATTTTAGAGGCCAAAATAAGACGAAAATCAAGAATATCAATTTCTTGCTTGAGGCTTCGTTAAAGAGTTATTGAAAAATTAAATTAAAAAGTTTCAAATCATTTTGAAAAAATTATTTTTGAACAGACATTTTTAAAAGTCGATATTTAAAGTATTTTTACACAAAAAAATAGAAAATATTGGAAAGAGGAGCCTAAGTGACGGGTAATAAAAAATTGATAGATTTTAAGTATTATCATATATTTCTCTTGACGTAATTAATTAGCTACATATTTACATGAAAGAAACTATACGTGTTTTATATATATATATGCATTCGTTCGCGTATCATACATGTATATTACAAAAGTTCTTCATCCGCTGCGAATTCGTATCGATCCTCCGCGATTTCTAAGAAACTGGATCCTCTAAGAACATTCGTACCCTCTTTACGTTTACGGTCCATTGATATGAAAGAACGTTTCGAACAACAGTCCTGCCAAAAATTGTCCGATAGATAATTTCAAAATACTATGATGCCAGTGGAAGATTCCACAAATTTGTAAAATTTGTCCATTCAAACGATTGTAAAACACGAACGTTACGACACCAATCGCTAACAAAAGCTAAAAGAAACGTACTCGAAAAAACCGCCAGCGGTTTCGACGTCTTCGACTTAGGACCAAACGTTAATACAGAGTTCCTATCAAACGCAACCGATGGACTAGCGTTTCGTTCCAGGCTGTGGACGACAGCAACGAACTTCTTAGAGCTCCTCCATCGCTTCCTCCCTCACGCACCCCTACATTGCATTTCGACGTTCCACAAAATGTACATTCTTGGCAACAGTTACGCGGTCTACGGCCCAAGCACCGTCCCCGGTTCGCCTTCCCAGATATTTACAAGACACACAAGGCTGTCAACAGTCCCATCGAGGCCCCACAGTTAATTGTCCACCTTGCGTAGCACCTCTTCCGCCTTCACTCTGAGCACCTCGGCGCTCTGCCTCCTGATCTCGTCGTCGGACGAGGCCGAGTCCTCCTCCTTGTCGTGCTTCGAGCTCAGGTTCTGCGGTAGATTCTGCACACCCAGGTTCAACGGATGCCCGTGCAAGTGGCTCCCGAGCGTGTGCCCGTTCACGTTATTGTGGTTCAACGACGTGGCTGGGTTCAGGCCGACCGGAAGTACCGTACCGAGCGACGCCAAGTTCTGCGGCAGGGGTAGTCCGATGTACTGCGACAAGATCGCGTGCAAGGGGGGTAGTTTCGGCGCGCTGGCCGGCCACGGCGGTGGGAACACCGGAGGGATGAACCAGGGAAAGGCACCCGCTGGCCCTCCCGATGGATCCGCACCTGGCACACCGCCGGCGGTTTGTAGCAAGCGAGCGTGAAGGGATAACTCGTTCACACCTGCAATCACACCGTTTTGCAGGGATTTTAGTACGTTGTTTCTGTGAATTCGGAAAGAGGGAGGGACTGGGAGCCTCGTTTGACCGTTTGCGGTCCAACCTACCCCGGGGACAAGCAATACGACACACTCGTGTGGTCTGGGCAAACTTTGAAGCACTCAAACTGATACAAACGTTAATTTTTTCAAAGTATTCGATTATTCAAACAGCTTCAATATTTGACCAAATTTGTGGTATCCAAACTGAGAAAAACGCTCATTTTTTCGAAATATTCGATTATCCAAATAGCTCAAATATTTGATAAAACTTGAAGTATTCAAACTGAGAGAAAAACTAATTTCTTCGAAGTATTCCATTACTAAATAGCTTGCATGTTTGATCAAACTTGAAGAAATTCGATCCGTTCAAACGTTTAAAGAGCTTGATTGTAAAACTAATCACTAAACTTTAAAATCTAAGGCTTCAGAGAGTGAAACAACCCAACAGTGAACAGTAGACTAAAAGTTTGTCTTACTTTGAATATAAAATCATCCCCTAAAGATTCGAACACTTGTAGCTGAACATCCAGTTTAAGATCAGAGCTAAACACTGATTGCATTGATGATCCTCTGTTTTAATGTGATAAAGCTATGTTTGCGTACGTTTGTATCAAAATTTCTCGCAGTTAAATAGACGGAGACTTCTGACTCGATGGAATTACTTCCGAGGGAAGTAGATACGGACGATGAGCGGGGAGAAAAATCAGTTTGGTGTTCCCTGTCGAAATTTATCCGCTTGTCCCCGGGATCGTCGCTCGCATAGGAATAAGTTTCGTCGAGGGCACACGGACAGGCCGTTTCATGAAAAATTAAACGGTCAAGCTTCCGTCGCGCATCGTTCGCATGCGACGGCGACGATGGCCGACACTGAAATTAGATGTAATTGGCGCCGATTGCATCTACCCTTCGTAACTTTCCTCGCGCCTCGGCTGCTCGCATATTAACAAACAGCCCGGGCGATTCATCGCCCTGCAACCGAACCGTCGCCGTCGGGAAGGTAACCCTTTTTTTTTCATTTCCCCGATCGAGACGACGAACGGCGAACGGATGGATTAAACTCGAATTAAAATTCGAACGGTCGTGAATCTGGCCGCGCACTCACCCCTTTGTTCCGCGTGCATGAAACTGGTGTCTCTGCCCAGCGCCTTCTCTTTCTTCCGCCATTTTGCGCGTCGATTTTGGAACCAGACCTGAAACACACAAACGAGCAACTTTAATCAATGATCACTTTGAACCACCAACGTGTTATTGTTTACGATGGAAGAACGGTGATAAAATTATAAATAATCTTTAATAAGTATCCCATTGAATTACCTAATATTCAATCCGAAGCTAGAATTTCTTAGATGCTATGGACTACAGTGTATTTATAATTAATACACTCTTATTTTGCAAAATTTCTTAAAATAAAGATATTTTTAAAACAGCTGTTACGAGAAAGTAACTATTCACGAAAAGAAAAATAGAGGAAGATCTCTGATAATAAAATTCGTGTAAAAATTTCCCAAGACGGTCGCATCGGAGAATCCCTGCAGCGGCGAAACAGTTAACAGAAGAATGTTTTTCATCCCTTAGCGGTTCGTTGGCCCCGCGCGGGCTCACGCACACCCCCGGGGACACTTGGAAAGACGGTGGCATGTTCGAAATTCATTCCGCCTTGCAACAGACATTACCGTAACGCGGCTCCGCCTCCCCCGTTCCTCGGATCAAGGGAACAATCGTCGCGCGAAATCATCGAATTATTTCTCGGAAGAAAATACGCCAGCGACGCATGAGAACCCCAGCCAGCCGTATCAGAGCCACCCAACAAAAGCTTGCTCTCGAGGTTGATTAAGCTAATTGTTAACAATTATCCTGATTTCCTCCGTACCCCTAAGTGGCAGCAACCCCTGCCCTCGCCCCTCGCCATCCTTCCAAACCCCTGGCACGCCGTTACCGCTGGCCCCGTTGCCATATAAATGCTTTCGCTTTCCGCTCGAGCTGCTCTGATTTTTCGTGGCCACCGACAGACCCCGCGAAAGAGACAGAGAAAGACCAGGAGATTGCATTTTACATCCTGCCTCTATTGTGCGGAGAATCCAGTGCTTTTCAGCTGACGCCGGTCACCAGCCATCGATCCGATACGCGTGGATCCTCGGACGGTGCTCCTTCCCGCGGTATCTTTCCTTCGAAGGCTCTTTGATCGTTGATTAGAGACTTATAACCATTAAGAAATTGGAATTATGTAAAAAGAAACAATTAAGACGAACATAGATGATGTGTCTTGGAGTAATAGAGGCCACAAATGTGATAATTTATTACGTGGATGGTGAGTCAACACGACCAGAGGTAAACCAAGCCAAATTCTGCTACAGCTCGCGAGAATTTAATTAGTAGAGGACAGAGAATTCCCAAAAATTAGATCAACGTATCCAAGATTTCGAAGTCTTTTCTAATCCTTGTCATCGGAGAACCAGACTCCGTCTTCATATAATTGCTCTGGCACGTGCTCATCCTCTTATGGGATTACAATTGCAAGCACTTGCGATGGATGATCTCGGCGACGCAACTTTTATCGCTGTGATGCTGAGAAAATTGGAACAGGTTACACAATGTTCTTCAAACGGGGCATTTAATCAAACTGGTAAGGGAATTTTTGTCAGAGATGTTTGAAATCAGATGGACAGGAAGGTCAGCCTTTGTGGCTCACCTAACACCTGTAGATTTTTTTCTGGGACGTTCGAGTTGGATGATTTTGAGTAATGATTAAGAGTATGTTCTGGCCATTAATCTTGATGGCTCAATATTGTCTCAAAGAAATAAACACAGACGAAAACATTCAAAATTTTGTTTACAAAGAAGTAACCCATGGTTTTGTTAATTTATTACGCTGAATGAGTAAAAGACAATCAAGATCAATTTTCCAGCAACCTTTGTATTAACCATAATCGTCACTGTACAATAAATTGTTACGTCTGTCAAGATATTTAAGATTCAAAGTTGGAGAACGATTATTTTATGAATATTTTAAGATCCATTGCGAAAAAATTTCATTTTCTCAACGACTTACTAAAATGTATCCATTTCAAAAAGCAAGAAATATTTATATATAAATGCTTTTCTTAAACATAGATTTACGAAACTCATCTTCCTGGTCCCCCTTCTCGTAGATAATTTTGATACATTTAAAGTAAAGTGAATATTGTCGAAAATATGTTCTCAATTAAATGCAACTCTCTATATGCTTAAAATAAAAATATCAGAGACATAATTTTAACGTTAAAGATTAATACAAATTTATTTTAGTATTTAAAAGGAAAGACTCTTTGAAGACTGATGCTTGAAAATGCATGCTTGATCCACGCCTGGTTTGAGATATGATTTTGTTATCGTGACGTGGAAGAAATAGACTGGCGATCGACCCGTGTAACTTTGAAAATACATCGACAGATATTTAAAGAGCAAGTGGGAATATCGTTGAGCGAGCACGGAAAATCGAGGGAAGTTTGAAAGTGTCCGCGAGCGTTCAGTTGGCGGAGCAACGAGGGAAAGGGAACGAACGTCGCGAGGCCGGTGCGGGAAATTCAATTGCCTAATTGCTGTTAATTATTTAATCGCTCCTGAATACCCCGCTAACGCCTAAGTGCTCGCAAACCTTGCAGCGCGTCATTTAAGCGACCCAGCGCGAACCCGAAAGTTTGAATCCCCCATCGCGCCCGCACAATCTCGGTGTAACGTTTCCACCATCTCCGCCGCAAATTTCCTGTTCGCGCTCTTGCTTTTTCAATCTTTCAACTTTCTCCTTACGCGTGTACAAAACGATATAAAAAAAAACGGTCTAAGACTTTGGGGCCCCCGATAAACCAAATGCCCCCATCAACGCGTATCCTAAAATCCTATCGATTGAAAAATCTGCTTGAAAGATCCAACAGTCGAGGAAAAGAATTTTTCGTGGATAAGTAAATCGAAAGTGTAGAATAAATATTTTTTTTTTAATGATCGTTCGTTATAAAGTAAAACAACTTTGAAGATTTATTAATTATAACTTGATATTTTCTTCTTCAATTCACGAATCTTTCGTGTTAATTATCAAGATTGCTTTTCAAGAATTCCTTTTTCTTTCGGTCGCATAAAATCGATCAAAATGGTAGACACCGTGAACCAACGATCCGATTTAATAAACTTCGTTTAACCTTCGCACATTGAATATGTGAGATTATTTTTTCATTCAGAGATTAAGTTTTTATCGAGTGACCAATAATGTTCGACATTAACATTCGACAATCGCTTCAATTTTATAACGTGGTAACCACTTTTCTTTTCAATCAATTTCTGCACTTCAAACTGTGTAACCATTCAGAGAGTTTTCGCGGAAAAATAAATTGAAAATTTACAATAAAGTTTTTCCTTCGACGGTTCGTTTTTTAGGAAACCAATTCTGAAAAATTCGCCGTGCACGCGTGTACCTGACTATGACGGGTTTGTCGAAGTACGCTTTAGACAATTGTTACGTCAATTTAGATATATACAATTGGTAAGAATCGGTGAAATTCCAGGTACCACGAAAAAGTCTGAAAAGTTGAACGAAAAATTTTTGGAACGTTCCAAAAGTTAGAAACTAGAAAGAATTTAGAAATATAAGAAGCGTTCTAGTAATTATTCATTTAACCCTTAAGTGGATTATAGGGACCACAAGTTTACAATAATAATTGTTTAATATATGTCAATGTAATTTAAAAATTTATGTAATCCTCTATTAGTTTATTATTTTTCAAATGAAAGTTGATTTCCATTTAACAATTTGGTGAAAAATTAAGTAAAATAATTCAGTTGAGATTGAGAGCTCACTTAAGGGTTAATTCTAGGCTCAATTACCAATTTTCTCCTAGGCTAAGAATATAATTTTTTGAAAAAATATTCATATCAATCCAAAACGTTATCCACAAAACCCATAGAAAATAAGTATTACTCATAGTGATAAGGTTAGTCATAAGCGATACTCCAAGAAGATGACGAACTTGTTGACTCCTTTATGGGGTAAAAACAAATGTGTCATACACCCAGACCTAACCCGGCTGTACCTAAACCAAAAATTATAAAAGCGTACCGCTCCTGGCCCTCCGGACTCATTTTCACGTTTCATCTTGTAAAGAGTGCATCAGTGTTCAGTCTCCGAATAAACCTTAGAGTATATCCTGATATCTATGTCCGAGTGCTTGAACCTTTCCCAATCTAAAATCAACCTAATATTGTGATGCCGCAACTATTTGGACGAGTCTGCAGCTTACGGCATAACAGTACCACCTGGGTGAAGAGTTCTATTAACAAATCTTGACGCTGAAGGCGCGGATTACCAATTTCGTTCGAATCTCGTCGACGGTCCATGGGATATAATTTTTTTGAAAAAGTGTCCGTATCAATCGAAAAACGGCGTCGTCCGTCGGGAAAAGCGAAAGCGAGTCTCCGATAGTAGTGTCGCGCGGAATAGGAAGCGGGCAGAAACGGTTCGCGATTCTATTACCATCGGGGGTCCGATCGTCGATCGAACGCGATACATCGGTCGGCCATTAATACCGAAAAATGGGTAATTTCGCATCTGGAATTGAGGGCGGCGAGGGAGGAGTAGCGGAGGATTTCCTAGATTGAAATAAAGTGGCCGTGGCACCACTGCGCCGCGGCGGATCATTTAGCGGTTTTGTCGAGCGACGGCCAATTGCCGGCATTGTCGCTTGGCTGTACCACAATGGGCCAATCGGAATGCTCTCTGTCTCTTTTCAACTCCGTTGCCACCCTTCGACGACGGCTCCATCCACGACCCTTCTCTTCGTGGCACACGCATACACACAGCCCTGTTGCAGACCGTGCACGGCGCTCTTTCCCGATCCTCTTCCTACCCTTCTTCTATCTCCGTTTCCGTCTCTCTTACGCCCCTGTCGCGACATTCTCGCTTTGTCGCGTACCCGCGAGGGTGTTAGGACGGTTACGCTAATCGAGTAACCGATTTCCATCCATGGAAAAGTCATAATTTATGGCGCGGCCGCCAATACCCGGCGCAGCTGTCCCCGTGCCGATTCCACGTCACGTAACCCGTGCTCGTTTCGCGGACGATCAGGTTGATAATACAAACGAACAGGGGAAAAAGGGTGGGTATTTATCGCGCGCGATCGAGAGCTCGATCGAGGGCCGAAAACGCGCACCCGGTCGCCATTCGGGTTTCGCGCGCTAATGATTCCACCGTCCTCGTCCTTAATGCATTTGTTAATGGAGCTATTTTTTTTTGTTCCTTTTTTTTATTTTTTTATTTTTTTTTTGTTCGGATTACCACTTTATCGCAACTACCGTTCTTGCGCGTCCCGACGCACTCGAAACCGAACGAGCGCGATCGTGGACGGGAGTAGGAGGGGAAAAAAAAAAAAAAATTTCAAGCAGATTAAAACGCTGTTGAAATCGAGAACACCGCGTCCGCCTATCGTTTTTAACCGGAGGTACTATCGATCGAGTAATATATAAAAATATAGAGTGCGCGGAAAATGTATTGTTTAAAAGCGTTTGTAAAAACAAATATTAAAACGTTGCGCGTGGGCGTGCGTGTTTGACGTTATCGAGGGGCGGGAGGGAGGGGGGGGGGCCGTTTCGTATTTATCGTAACATGTAAATTACAATTGTACACGTTAATCCCTTTTCGTACTTCTTCCGAACGCCTACCGCGATCTATTTTTTTTTCTTTTTTTTTTTTTATCGACGTCGAAAACCGGGCGCAGCTGGGCTCTCTCGCAGCCGTTAAAAGGCGCGACTGGAAAATAATTTCAAAGCAGATTACGACCCCGTACGCTCTTTACTGTTTGACTGGCTCGTATGAAATTAATCCTCGTAGCATCGGGGGCTGGTACGGCGTATTTTCCACGAAATTATAGACGTCGAAGAGAAGCGGCAGATTTTCGGTACAATAGTGTGTAATTAGTTGAGAGGCCCACGCTGTGGTTGCGGCTCACTCAGCGCCGGCTTTCTCCGGGTTCGAATATCAAGCTCGAAAAGCTGACGGCGCGCGTGCAGGGGTTTAAAGACAATTTTGAGTACCTTCTCCTACTACAACTTCATTAAACTCGTTGACCAAAAATCTCTGGACGATTCGGGCGTGCTCGGACGAAACGGAAAACTTTACCAGACGTTCGAAACTCTAGCTCGACGATCGTATCCAATTTCTACGGACTGTCGAAAGAAAAGAGTCTTTGAGGGTCCATTTCTATTATGAATCGTTGATTTTATTAGGTCGCGTGACCGTTCGTGTTTCTTTATAAGAATATTATTATAAATACTGTCAATTTTATGTAGGCTTCACTTTGATGATGTACACGCCATTTTGATGTACGATCTTTTGTTGTCTTTTGAGTGATTTAAAAAAATTTCTTTGTAATACACCTTGTAGCTTGTTTATTAAGAAATCGGTTGAGATTCGGGACATTAAAATAAGAAAAAAATTCAATCTTTTGCAAGAATTCGATATCGTGGATTTCTTCATCGAAGAAGGAATACTTCAGCGCCCAAGATAAACGATAAAAACCAAATTCTGATAAAGAAACGTTTAAATCCACAAAATTCTACTGAACTAGAAGTTGCTCTCTTCAATTAAAAATAACTTTTCTCAAAAACGAAGTCTCGTACAAACTTTATTCTACGTTTTTGATCTATTTTTCCTATCTTCGTTTCGATCGAATCACCTTTGAAATTTTGATTAATTTAGAATAACTTGCATCAGAGTTCGACGTCTTGGAATCACGACAGATCATTTTGAAAAATAATACAACCGTGTGTGAGAAATAATTGCCTTAGTTAGGGAAAGAACGAAAGCAAAAGAAGTCGCAAGTAGTCCAGCCATGCGTATGGTCAGACGAGACATTGGAAATCCTTTTGGATTCAAAATTACGAAAACTGGAGGAAATTTGGTACTGTCGGGGAACAGAGGGATGTTAAATTTCGATCTTATCGAACTCACCTGAACCCTAGCCTCGGTCAGCTCCAACCTTATCGCCAATTCTTCCCTGATGAATACATCCGGATACTGTGTATTCTCGAAGGCCTTCTCGAGTTCGTGCAACTGATAGGTGGTGAAGGTTGTACGGGACCTTCGAACCTTCCGTGGCCGGTCTGATTCCCCTAGATTCAGGGGATCGTGCAGAGCATCGTTTATCTGGTGATCGCTCAAGTGACCGAGTTCCGTGTCTCCGCCATCACCGATCGCGTCGGACGAGGTCGCATGATCTGGAAACAAGTACAAGAAATATAATTTATTTCTCGTTACGAGCTCACATCACCCGTAAATTTATTAGAAAACGGTGACTTTCGGTACAGAAATTTTATTCGAATAACATACGGGCGAATTAAAACGTGAAACTATGAAACGTTCACTCGATGTAATAGTTATTTAGATGATAACTTAATTCGAACGAAGAAATCCTTCATTTGTATACCTGATAAGAGTTATGAGTTCGGTAATATATTTTATAAAAACTATAATTTAATAGTGAATGACGAATTTATAGTGGTGCCTAAACGACGTATGCTCTCATCTCTTGCCACGTTTCGTACGGTGCAAGGGTTTGTATACACGCTGTTTGAAAATGCCTGTCCACTGTTAGAGCACGTATATATACTTCTTTGTATTCGAAGGGTGAATTGAATGACGTATTAGTACTTCAAAGGGTAAATCTAGGGGATGAAAGTTAATCGGCTCCAAAATACTAGACACCTCATTTCAATGATAGGGAAGTTACATTGGAATGGTGGTAGAGAAATATTATGGTGCCCTAACCGATCAAAAGAAACAGTCTTAATTTATCAAAATACAATTTAATGATAGAATCAATGAGAGTTTTAAATTCATTAAACAGTGAAATGAAATATGTCCTTAAATTCAACCCTAAGTGCCCGAAAAATACAGATAATGACTTATTTCGAATTTGATTCAGTTCTGACCCCATTTTGTTAAATTTGGAAATAAAAAAAAGTTACTGGGGGGGCCAAATCCGGTGAATACGGTGAATATTGTAATAATTCGAACTTTAATTCCATGATTTTGGCCATCGAAACTGTGCACCCGTGCATTGTCACGATGCAAGAGGAAGTTTCTTGCTTCGATCGACAATAAAAATAAAACCATGTGGGAGATATAACTGAGACTTTGATAGCTGTTTAATGAGTCATGATGCTTACTAAAAACAAACCGTTTTCGATTTTCTAAGGGCTCATTGAACAACGTGCATTCAAGCCTCGTGCATTCAGCCAGAAATATACACATTGGTTCAAAATTTGATATCTCGCCGTGTCCCGAATCTGTTTCTCGAGTCGCTGACCGAAGATCATCCCCCTGTGGACCACAAGCTAGCGCTATTATCGAAAGATTACCCTCCCCGACGATCTGACGCGTCCCGAATATTTTCGCCGATCGTTCCCCGATCTCAGGAAAAAAACCAAAGGCGTCAAAGGCTGACCACCAGGGCAAGGGCATCAAAGAACCTTGTGATACCGCCATTGCGCTGCAGAGACACGAACGAACGACGTTAAAAGCTCCGGGGAGAGGCGCGCGTATTGAACTCCGACCGGATTCGCGTATCAAACGATCGCGGGGCCTTCGATGCTCGAGAGCAAGAGAGGATCAAGGCGATTAAGCCAAATCGTCCGCACTGCCAAAACGAAATTGACGTTTTGCTGATACACGCGGCAAGCGACGAGGAGTGGTCCATCGAAGGCTGCAGGGAGAGGGGGAGTGATAGACGCGGAGGGGGGGGAGTGGGGGAGGGTTTGGAGATGCTGCGGGGTCGGTGTGGGTGCAATTTCATTTTTAAGCCGCGCAACGACCGGCCGCCCGATGTACGCCCCGATACGCCGATGATGTCCGATCGGCGGATTTGCCAATTTTAAGCCTCACCCGTCGCTTGCATTTTTTTGTACATCCCGGGCCCGTATATGAAATATGACGCAACGATGCGAGCCTGTACATTATACCTACACGCTCGATAGTACTTAAAAACCGTTGCCGTCAGTGATTAGCAAATATCACGAGTGCATGTCGTACACTGTTGCCCCCCCTCCCGTGTCCACCGCCGGCCAACCTCCCCCCTGTGATGCAACCCTTCCAACCGTAGCCGTGAAACACACGCTACCGCTGCTACGATCCTCCCTCTCTCCACGACCCCCTTTTTTTCTCTGCTGTCTCTCGTTGCTGGTCGCTGGTCTGTTTTCGTTGTCCTTACCGGTGCATCGATACCAGCTCCAAGGCTCATTAGAGAAAACTACCGTTTTTACGTATCCTTCGCGGCCGGGATTACAATTCTTACGGTTTAAAGTTACGCGGAGATGGTAATGCGATAGTCGCACTCTGGGGGTATTAGATCAGGGTGAGGATGCTTCGAAGGACTCTGGAAAGTACAGTCAGCAAGTTAGGAGAGTCTCCTTTGTGAATTTCTGTTTAACGAGATCCAAATACTGGCGAAACGCGGCCAACGCGATTCGTGTTTAGAGTGAAATTAATTGCATTCTGTGTGCATCGATCTTCTCTCTTTCTGAGCAAGGTCGTCTTTTAGGAAATCAAAGGAGATAGATTGGATGTTCCCTCTGACGTGTGAAAAGTGCAATGTCTATGGCACCCACGATCACAAATCAAAGGGGTTGATATAAGACATTTGCAGGACAAAAAATTTTAAAAAATGTTGGGGATTTGAGACCTTCACGACCCTGGTCCATTTTTCCTGAGCGTATCTTTTGAATCTTCAATAGTTTAAAAAATAGTTTATCGACATCTGAATAATATTGTCAACAAAGCACGATCGTCCACCACGAATCGGTCGCCAAGATGGAATCGAAGAAATCTCACGCGTTCAAGCCATCGGATCACCTATTATATTTTCATTAAATATTATTCCGCATTTAAGTAGTCAGTTAACAGTCTTTTCTGCACCCCTCTCTACCACATCTTGCATATATTTATTTTCGTTGGACTACCTTCTGTTACACCGTCGAACACGAACCTACAATGATTTAAAACGTAGCGTTGCAAGTACCTTTTCAACGTCAGTTCCATAAATTTTTGTGCAGCCGACGGTAAATTGAATTTTAAAACCTGAACTCTGGTGCACGTCCGCCAGTTGATGGAACTTTCGCAGTAACCCAAAATTATCATTATTAATAATATCGAATAACACAGAGAGACGGCGGCGTTCATAATTTTTTCGTACAAAAACCGGCCAGTGCTGCATAATAAATGTTATAGAAAATCAGAGAATAATCCGCGAGATATTAAAACGGTAAGAGGAAATGAAAGTACCTCATTTGATTACTACCACCCGGCAAAGGGGTGGTGCTTTTTAATACGTGCGCATATTACAGCCGTCTCGTAACGGGATGTCTCGTGTACAAAAATTGCGCGATTATTTCTAGAAAAGACACGGAATCGACAGAAATACGGCCGTGTAAAATCCCATTTCTCCCGTTAAAACAGTTTATTATTTCATAAATATACATTATAATAATCTAGTCAATATTCCGTGTGCTTGCTTTTAGCTTCGACTAAACATTCTTTATGCTATTAGCCGTCTTGCCACCCTTGAAAACTATTTTCGACACTATCACGGTACGCAATTTTTATTTTTCCTACGAGTTCCACTTTGCTCTAATGTTCATACGTAGTTTATATTTATAACTTCGAACGCAGATTAGGAACGCGAAAGCGTTATCAAAACAATTTTTTGTCGCGGCTTGTCGAGAATTATAACGATCTAAGCGGGTTAAATGTAGCAATTAGCGATCGTATCAATTTGGCCAGGAGCGTGCACCGAAGACGGTGAAAAGCCGATTCGATCAGAAATCGTCGCTCGAAATACGACCGGGAGGGTGAGGGGGACCGAGAAAACTCCAAGTTCGTCATAAACGTCGATTCCATTTAATTTCTAACGCTTCTATCTAATTAGAGATACGACAGTTTGGATTTCGCTGCGGACCAAAATTACTCGTGAAATTAGATAATAACGCGATAACGACCACCGAGGCTGGTTTACACAGTTTCGGTGTCTGTCTCACTCCCCATTCACCCTTCCACCTCAGACGGGTGCCGCTTCCATCCACCCCATACACACGTTTCCCTTGAACTAATTAGACGAACATTTACTACTCGTGCGTAATAACGTTAATCCTACTTTTCGGTGCAGCTCTAACCGGCAGTTGCGTAGGTTGCTGCGAAAACGTTCGAACGACACACGCGCATCGATTACGCCGAAGAGAAAGAGAGACGAACCGGTATAGCTACACGCGTACGTGTGCACGTAATCGCACTAACATTTACGCAAACAAACGTCGGGATAATCCACGATGAATAGAGAGATTTTTATGTTTTCATGCTAGGGCACAATGGGGCACCCACTTGATGCCTAACTCTCCGCTGCTTTTTATTAAATCTACGGACCCACCGATAGGGGTTGGACCGGGGAGGGTGGCACCCGCTGAAGGCAGTTCGCGGCGCGAAATTAAAGATTTATTTACCGTGCCCCTGGTGATGACCACATGCCCGATCGTTTCGACTCTAACCGATGCTCTCGGTCTCTTTGTCGAAGACATTCAACCGACGATACTCGCGTCTGTTCAGTTTCATCGCGGTGGTACCACTTTGCTTGATAAACTAACGTTTATAACCTAAACGAAGGTGCAAAGATTTTCATTTAGAACGCTTCAAATTTTCTAAAACTCATTTCTATCGGTTCCTCTCCGCTGGAGAACCTACTTTCGATCCTCGAGCGTAACTCTACGTTACGAAACCAAATATTCCCACGTCAATTTGTCGAATTTTGTCGAAAGTTTCATGTCATCTACGTAGATGCAAGTTGTGCTAAATTTCATGATTCTTAAGTAAACCACTCCAGAGATATAAAATATATATGACTTGTTGATACGTACAGAATTTTGCATTTTCCATCTGTAGAAGCAACCATAGGAAGTAGACTAAGTTTCATGCTTTACAAAATTTCCACTTGAAGCAAACTAAACATCAACATAGGGCACTCAACGATGTTAACGATGTTAATCTTTGAACTTTTGTAACTTCGTGAAAAGAAGCCTTACGAAATACTCCTGGTGTTATTTTAAAGTTAGAACCTGATCCTCCCTTTTCATTTATTATAAGAAATTTGTTAAGGAAAGCTTTTTCTAAAACAAGCATTAACTCTTTCGTCAATGATTTTTTATTCTCTCAGATAACAAGTTTGATTTTTAATACTGTATTGTATAAATATAAATTGTTTAACGTTGGATTCAAGTTGCTGCCAGTGTGTTACAAATATGTTTCACAAGGTTCTTCGAAATGCTTGATGGTTTATAGCAAAAGTGATAAGCTTATTCATACATAATAGGATTGAACTAATCATTGAATTAGAACAGAGAACATTGTTACAGTATATCGAGTTGCTTGCACAGATGGAATCGAAGACGCTTTTCTCGAAACTACTTTATGCAAACATTTCGTGTAATCCATAGAGAAATATTTTTAAAATCGCTGCTTCAATTATATTGAACACATTACTGTAAATAAAATTCCTATTCGACCACAAACGGCTAAAAAGACGTTTCACATTTTGTATAGAGACAACTTAAAAAATGTACAATACTTCGAACATAGTCCCACCCCAAATAATCTCTCACCGAAGCTCTGTGACTAAAATTAATATTCCTTTACAAAAAAAAAAGTATGTGTCTTCTTAAAGTACGTACAAATTAACGTGCAAAATTTGAGAAAGCTGTTGTCGAGGGTGGCGGGGGGGTAAAAAAAAAAAATTGAGGAAGAAACGTTACATTTTAGCGTTCTAGACACAAAGACCCCCTTAATTGAATATTCGTGGTCCCGCGTTGGTGAAATATTAATTCACCGCGATTAGTTTGTCGCGCGGATCGCATCGGCAATCGTCCCTGCAGAGACGGAGAATGAAGTTTCTCGATTACACAACCCTTTTGACAACACGTGACCCCGGGCCGCGTCGATCCGTAAGCGAGTCCCGATGCACCGGCGGACATCCAATGCGCACGTATTATCAGACGCATTAATTATGTTAGACGACTGTACGCTCGAAATCCGCAAACACATCCTGATTTCTGCGCGCCACAATCGGACCGGACCAATAATCGCTCCACCTGTATACAGTGATCATCCGCTGTGTTCCGACTTGTATACCCACATGTATCGTGCAATTGTATGAACACGCATACGAGCATAATCGATTCGGGTTGTACGTGGAATTTGATCGTCCGGCCGATAACTCGCACGAAAGAATCTTTTTTCCACCACCGTGGATGCCCGTATAACTGCGCGACGAATTACCGCGTTAACTGTTAGGCTCGGCGCACGTCGAGCATAAAATAACATAGCGTACACAGTAACGACAATTTGAATTTTCTATTCCCGCAACGAGCCACTTTTACACTGCACTTAATACGTGAATTGATAACATAAAATTTTTTAATATTATAATTATAATAATTCAGTAATATTTCATTATAGTTATGTAAAATTGTTAAGTACGACTACTTTGTATCGATGTTACTGAAAAATATCTTTTCCTAATTAAATATTGTACATATGTATAGTTGTTTTTCTTAAACGCAAATGGGGAGTCTCTAATGCTCTAATAAGTCAGAAAATATAAATAGTCCTCGAGATAAAAAAAAATAGTAGAAATCCAGTTTGCTTCTAAGGCAAAGTTTCCTATGTTAGGAAATGGCAATTTTATTTTTGTTAAGCTTTTCATCGGAACGAATCAATTAGCGTACACCGAGTCGTTCACTTATGCAGATAATTCGTTCCGGAGCTTTTCGTGTAAGTCTAATGCGTGTGAATACGGTATATCAGAGGGGAAATAAAAGTGAAACCTTGGTTGAGACTAATGCGGTACAAATAAGGGGAATGTGAAACAGTGTCGATTAATTTCAGTTTAGTCACAGACTTTTCGGAGGCTGACAATCCCCTCTGGACCTGATCTTTTGCCTCAAGCTTCGTTACAAAAGTTAATTAAAACTACACAGACCCGTACGTGCTCTTTTATGGAAGGAAAAATTGAAGAAAATAGGTCTTTTCGTACGTGAATACGTTCACGTATACTGATAATACACGTAGAAGTACATAAGTGGAAGCATAATCGAGAAACTCGAGACCGTGTAACTCGAGGAATCTCTCTATTGAAGGCATGCGTGTGTTCTCGGAATTCTTAACTAAGTTTCGAAGGCACAATTCTATTATTAATATACAGGGTGTATTTTAACATATAGGGTCTCCTTCGACCGCGAGTTTGGGGGCACAAAACAATGGAAAAGGCTCATATTACCCTACTCGACTGTTTCCAAATTATATCCACTTTTGTGGTACATTTCAATCGCAAGCTTAATTACTTGACTTAATATCTGACTGAATTAATATCTTCTTTGAATAAAGAACAACTGTTAAACAATCTTTTACTAAAAAACTGACTTCTTGACTGAATTGTAACGACTTATAACAGATTATTACAGTTGACATTCGAACAATAACACAAGTTGTTTGCTTACAATTCCCACTGATACTGAGACATCCAATTAGTTGGAGTTGTCGTTAAGCTGTTGATAATTTTAACGTTGTCATTTTAATTCGAATTATTTTCTCCTGCACATATATCGATAATAAATAAATGCAAATTTCTTTCGAGTGTCCGCCCCCAAAAGTTGATAGTCACGAACAGCTAGCAGGCCACACGACAGACAACGTATTGAGAAAAATAAGGAGTTTATAGAACATTGTATGCAATTTAATAGAACCAGTTATACTAACTCGGTTTGCGATTAACCCTTTCGTTACGACTGAACTGACCTCACAGCACTGCCGCTGAACGTAATGGATATCGGCGGCGCAAATAGCGCGTGTTGCTCCATACTACATAATTCATCGTGTCTGCGTTAGTACAAAATGATAGCCAATAAATTTATGGCCTTTTTATATATTAATATACACCAGCCTCGAAATAAACGGTTCGAGAATTAGAACTGTATAGAAAGTACGCAAGAACAATCTCCCAGCAAAAAGCCAACGCATAGCGTCGTGCGGAAAGGGTTAAAAATTGCTAGACACGCAAAAATGGGTGTAATTTTGGAAGAAGGTCAAACAACTATGTTCGTACGAACTTTTTCAATTTTCTTTTGTGCCCCTAATCCACCGTAGAAGCGGATCCGCCATGATCGATGCTCCACGTACCATTCAGAGTTGGGTTTTCATTCGTGAATAACAAATACAAATTTTAAACTCTGTTTAAACGAAAGACCAATTCGTTTAAAAAAGTGTAAGTTACCAAAGAGTCTAAATCTAAAGTTCCATAATAGAAAATGGTCCAACTCGAGGGCCATTATTTTTCAATTTCCACGCAACATTTTTACGGGACGTTGGACGGCTGTGTGCGTTAGATAATGAAAATTTCAGCGTGGATTAGACGGTAAGACGAGTGAAACTCGCTGGGAAGTCGACGCGTTAACGACAACTCGTACCGCATCTCCGCGGGCAAGATATACATCGCTGGAACGGATTATACAAGGTCCGGACTTTACGCTGGAAATCTAATAAAATCCTTAAGAGGGTTTACGGGTAATACGTTCGTCGTTAAACTCCCCGGGATGATCGTTTGAGCAAAAAATTGGCGTGCGCAACTTTCTTCGCGGAAATTTAATAAGTGTAGGTTTACGTAAGTTTATTAATTTCCCATGGCGTTCGGTGGACGATCGAGTTAAAGTCTTCGAGGATCGTAAATACGCTACACGCCCTTGGTCGCCGTTAATAATTTACGCGCATACGCCGCTCTCGCGGCCCCACACACGGTAACTCGAGAACAGAGAACCCGTTACGCGCGCCCGTTAATTGTTACGTTTTAAAACAAACTTTTCGTGTCGTGTGGACGTCGCGATCGTACGTCGCGGCGACGTTGTACGAGAAAACGGCGTAATTTATCTGGGAATCGTACACGTGACGATGCAGGAATTAGATTCGTTAAACGTAATCGCGGTTTCTTGAGAAATCCACCGCGTTGTTGTTAGAAAATTTTAATGAAATAATTGCGTGATCGTGCGTTCGCTCAAGTCCCCGAAGGGAAACCTGCTCGCGAACAAGCGTGCACATGCAGGCGTTCGCGTGCTATAAGTCACGTCGTAAATTCACGTCGCGCTGATCGTCGCCGCAGATTCGAACCCCGACCTAATTAGCCTTTTAAAATGCTCACGGCAATTAAGTAACGCGCGAAAGGAGACACGGGAAAAGGTGTTACCGCGAGCGACGATGACTCACGGGGGGGGATCCGGATACGCGAGATACGTTCTCCGGGTTACGAAGATCCGGATCGATCCGTTCGATCGGCGATTTGGGAAATCGGTGAAACGACCGTTCGCTGAATTGGCGTACAATTACCGTATCTGATGCGGGGGGACGATGGGTTAACGCAGATAACCCACTTTGTCTCAGTTAGAAACTTTTTTTTTTCATCGCAATCGCGACGCGGATCGAAGCGAGGGCAATAAAATGTTGGTAAATGAGACCTTAGTTTGCTTAACGATATTAGATACTAGATAACAATACAATATTACGCGGCGGTTTATTACAGTCGAGCAAATCGACGCCTGACGGCCGCAATCGTTGCTTCAAACACGGCAGGAACGTAATTGATCGAGCAAACTATTTTCTTTCCGTTACCGTCAATTTCTCACTCGTTCGACACGGAACCACGACGTAATTGCAACGGAAGGGGGAAGATTCGTTAAACTTATGGCAGTTTGCTACACTGGAACCGGTATTTTCTAACCAGAGGTTCCGTTAGAATCGTCCTCGCTCGTTTTTCCCGCGCGAAAAAAGTAATCGTACCTTCGTCCTTCCCGTGGCCCAGGATCTGGTCGATGCTGTACACGTTCCTCTTTTGATTGTATGTTTGCGCCATGCTTCTTCGCGGCAGCGGCGTCGACGGCGGAAGTCACTGTCGCAGCCGTGCCGACCGGCAACCGGAAGTATCGTTCACGACCGATCACTGGCGAAAATTACTCCCCGTCCCTGTCCTCGTAGGTGGTTGACGTGAATCGTATTTCCCGCTGGTAACCGCGGCTAGATGGAGCCTCGCGGGAAAACGTCCTTTGGCGCGAACGAGAGGGTGAGAACCGGTACGGTGTCGCGCGCGAAACGGAAACGGCGTCGAAAAAATCGCGAGACGAGAAACGTCGGACCGTCGAGCGAGATCCACGCGGCTCTGGCTGCGAAAAGAAAATGCGTCAATCGACGGCGCACCACGAACTGGCTCGTCGGACATGAAAGCAGCCCTTAATATCGCATACTGCCGCCCCACCTCGCAACCCCTAACACCGCCATATTAGCCTCCCCGCCAATGAGGGCGCACGCTTCTCACCCAAAGCCACCCCGCACTCGGGGGTTGAATGAGGCCTGGGCGGGGAATATTTTGCCCTTTCCGCGTAAATCCCCGGATTTTTTTCCACCCTCCTCCTACCCCCTCCCATCGGAGTCTTCCTCCTTCTATCCGATCTGCCGTTTCTCTCTGTTCATCACGCCGCTGCTACGTATGTCCATCCCATTGTCTGTCTTTCGTTTTCTAGTCCCTCTCCTCGGTTTCGATCCGACCGGCGGGATATTCCTTCCGCTCGCGGGAACGCGGTATTATTTACCGCGTCTTCGGGGTGTACGCGAATTTTTACGGCCGCCCGTGATTAATCGCTCTTAGCTGACCGGGGAACCCTTCTCCCGTCGGTTCCTTTTTGTTCGACCGCGGCGGGAGAAAGTTTAATTCGAGCGACACGTACAGATTTGGTCACCCGACATTGCGCCGGGCCTTCGGTAACCGTACGTAACGTACGGTTAACGTACGATTTAATTACAAATGTACGTAGTATTTAATTTTGCTTAAATTTATTCGTACGAGGAATGACCATAAGAACGAACAGATTTGCGAGTATAAAAATTTGTGGATTTTAATATGTTCCGCAGTTATTCAGCAGTGTGTTCTACATGCAAGACTGAGACTAAAATGTTGTATAATAAAACATCCATAAATGCTTTGTTAAGAAGTTACAACAGAAATATGAACTGTGAGAGATATGATAACGCTGTTTCTTTCAATTTAATACAGAGAAAGATTATTTCAGCATCAATTCAAATGCAATGTTTGGTTGAGCATGTGTGATGAATTCTTAAGTAAAAATTTGTTGATTTTAATGTACAGGGTGATCCGCATTTCTTCAGCAATGTGTAAGACCAAATGTATAATAAAACATCCATAAATGCTTTGTTAAGTAACTGGTAAGTTACTTTGTTAAGTTAAACTGTTTCTCTCAGTTTAATGCAGAGCAAGATTATTTCAACATCAATTTAAATGGAACGTTTGGTGCGAGGAATTCTTAATCGAACCTTATTTTCTTCCTGAGCGGTTGAGGGGAGAATCTTTTCTATCATTTTTAACAAATGATCTCCATTGTTAGATGTATCTTTACATTATGACCATCGTGTAAAAAAATTGATATAATAGACACTATTCCCAACAATGGATTGTTCAAGGGGACCAAGAAATTGGCCCCCCAAATCACCTGACCTTACCCCTTTAGATTTCTACTTATGGGGCACTCTGAAGGAGAAAGTTTACAATACAAACATTCGTACAAGAGATGAATTAATTGCAAAAATGAATACCGGGTGTGAAGAGGTTCAATAAAATTGCAACCAATCGAAGTCAACAATAAATTCAATAGTACGTAAATGCCAAAAATGTCTCAACAAAGGTGGGCGTCATTTTGAAATGGAAAGATAGGTATATTCAACATAACTCTTAACAAAGCATATATGGATTTTATGTTACATAACATTTTAGTCTTAGTTTTAATTGTAGAACACACTGTAGAAGTGTCTATAGAAAAAATGCGAAACACTCTGTATAAGATTTGACGACAAGTGTAACGAAACTTGCTATAAGAGCTTGTGACGAGTCAGAGTCGCCATTGTACGACAAAAGATTAATGACAGTCATTAATCAGTAATTAGGGAACAGGGTCCGTTGCACTACCGAAGACACTTTGTCCTACGTTTCCTGTTTGGTACCAATTTGCACGGAAATTAACGTGGAAATTATATTATTTCATGTTAAGCTCTCTAGCACGAACAAATTAAGCTGTAAACCTTTCTATTGTGCAGTGTGAAAGGTACGCCTCATGTAAACGATTTTCTAAATCGTCGATTAGCAGTAATCGTACCCTCTTTAACGATTTATAAATGAAAATAGTGAAAATGTGGTCAGGAAGAGGGATTATTTTATAGAGAAAGCAATGATGCAAATATTTTAAATATAACATAATTATTAATGTTAATATGTTCTACCAATAAGATCCAACGTATATTAATTATTAAATAACGTATTTGTAACGTAGCTGTATACGTCCAATCCGAATTATACGGCTTAACCATTCGTATACAGAGCAACTTTTATTCCTTCATGAATAACGTATATTATACTCATTTCACAAATCACAGCGTGTAAAATAATAAATTTTATATTTATTTAGTACTCCTCCACAACTTCCGCGAACCCCGTAATGCACATTTTTAACGAGAGTTTATAAATTGTTTGTTAATCGATTTAAGAAGCCATGGAACGATTCGAAAGTCGATATAATTTTTAGAAAAATATCAATTTGATCTATGATTTATATTAATTGCAATATATACGTAAAATATTCTACAATGAACTTACGTTTATAGAAATATAAACGCATAGAAAAAAAACTGGATCGTCACATTTTTAGAAGCTATGTAAATTTGATCAAAATTTTGTTTAAACAGTTAAAGCAGAACCATAGCAAAATGTCATCTATCGATTTTATTTTCTATACTTTTCGTTACTCAGTATTTTTATGCATTTATCACTAAATGATGATTATATTAAGTAATAATAGTTTTATTTTGCTTATGATTATTATTCTCAGCTTAAATTAGTTTAGTAGATTATTAAATTATTAGATCACTAGATTATAGGTTGTACAGTGAAGAAAGCGTAGGCAATTATAGCTCGCTAGATAGAAAAAGGAAACATGAAGGCAAGTATTAAATAAAATAAATAATATTAATAATAAAACAATTGAAAAGATACAGTTTAGGTGATCAATTTCGCATTTGGAATGCTTTGTCATGTTACTTTAAAAATCTAAATTTTCTTATCAATGTTTTATCTAAGTTTTCCAATGTCATCTTCAAAGTTACTTGATATACTAAAAAGTCTTTTAAGCAAAGTCTATATTATTTTTGACAGGAAATAATACGGTGTTCTTCGAGCACTCGTCCAACTAAAGCTGCAAATTATTTTTAACTCTGATATTGCACTTTGGTTGACTATTTTTTACTCGATTTAAAAAATATTGTATACGGTTCTCCCAAAGTTTTACTGCGAACTTGTACAATTTATTAAATCCAAGTATCGTTGACGATTAAAAAACAAACATCCAAAGAATCGAATACGGAATGGAATCACCGAATGTGTATCGCATTCTAAGCAATTAATATCCGAGTTACAAATCCACGAATGAAAAATACTGTTATGGATTTATAATTTATTATATTATAGACAGATAAATATTTATACTCTTTTCTGAACGAAAATCTAACAGGTTCGTAAAAAAAGATGTCGAATCTCTCGCACGTGGCCATCTTTTGATGATACATTCTTCTGTTTAGATTTTAATAATCTAAATACTATACAGGAAATACAATGACAATTAAGTTGAATGATCAGTCTGTTCGTATCAATGGCGATACTATTCATAGCTGGATAAATTACAAGCAAAGACTCGACCATTGCTTGAGTTTAGAAAAACAAATGCTTTCTAACGCGATAGCGTATAATAAAAATTATTTCAACCTCATTCACCATATTTAACAATATTATTTGATGGAAAATCGTTCGAAAACACGAGTTTTTAATAAATAAAGCGACGAGATCTATCGTAAAGAAATATTCAAATAGCCCAAAAAATGGCAGAAGATGGAACAAAATGGCGCATACAAGTTTACAAAGAAACTGATTCATTGCACAACCTAATTGTTATCAAATGTACCCCATATTTTTCAATAAGGTTTTAACAGGAATTTGGTCGTGAACAGTTCGTTCGTCCGGCGACATTTTGCTTGCGAAGGGCCAGGTAACCTGGAAATATCGGATGCCCGCGTATTTCAGGCGCAAATTGCGAGAAACGAGGTCGTCTGGTTGATCGGTCGTCCAGGAAAAGGGACGGTCGAAAATTTACTTACGATTATCCTACTTATTCTAAGACAACGCCTTTCCGCGCTGCCAGAGCGAATCAGTAATCTAATCCTAAGACGAGGCTTCCTCGCCTCGAAATCCCGACGCCCGTGGCACAATTTCCAGATCCCATCCTTTTTACGAAACCTTCTTTCGTAATCTGTCCTCGACCACCGCTAATCCAAAGAACGCACCGGTAGAAACTCACGACGATCCCTCCGGAGGGATCGCCGCTCTAATTCACTTCCGTTGTTGTGCGAAACAACCGGAATTCTATTCTCATTAATTACAGGTTTCGCGTTCTGCTCGAAACCGGTGTAAAAGCACCGTTCCCGCCCGGCGCTCGGAAATATTTTTTGTAGTTTAAAACGCAGCACTTAACGATATTATCGACTCTTTTAAAACATTATGCGAGAGCCTGTCCGATGGTGCTATATCGAGTGCATTTCAGTTACGTATTTAAAAGTAAACGTGACGCTTTTAATCGAACTCGAACGTATTCCAGAGAACTTTCAATAGTTATGAACGTGTATGCGATTATGGACGAAGTCAAGAAACCGAGGAAATCGTGATTCTCGATCGTTTTACGTTGCGTCGATTTATGTTACGATATCATGGAACAATCTCAAATTATGCAATGGTACATAAATTGC